GGAAATATTGAATCATCACATTAACCATAAATCTTCGACCCTCTTCTACCACTATCAAAAGGTACATTCTCTTCCGTGAAAATAATCGGGTTAATCCTCAATCGTACGCTTTTTAACAAATTCACTGTAGCAAAGTTTTAAATTTCAGTGACGTCTAGCCTTAGCTTTTGCGTTTGATTAAGGGTTTTTGGTTTTATTGGATCCGTTTTTGGATTCAGTTTCATCTTCTCCATAGAAAACTTTTTAATTTAGTTTCTATGAAGCTTGAGATGAAGCAGTGATTTTGTTTTAGTATCTTTGGTGACTGGAGCAGGATTCTGGTTCTTTTCTAATATTAAGTACGTTGAAAAAAGTGTTGCTGATGGGTTCACTAATGTCGATGATCTTATGAAAATTTTCTTTGAGATTAGGAAGCAAAGGTATCTTGAAGCTCCAGATCATAATGATTTATTCTTTTAATTTCTTTCTTGATTATATGATTTGGCTATGTCTTTCTTTGAATTAATGATATTGTTTGTATGTTTATTTCAGAAATGACGAAGGAAAAGCTACTGAAATATTAGCCAAAGATCTGAAAGTTATGGTACGTTTAATGAAATACTTTACAAAGAGATCACACGAGATAAATTTTGCTTTTGCCTTAATATAATTGAAATTTCTAAATTGCAGACACTTAAGTGTTAAAGTGTGTGTGTGTGTTTGATATCTCCACAGGGGAAAGGAGCTCTAGTCAAAATCAGCCAGGTATGCGGATGATTGATTCGAAGGTGGAGGAAAATGCGTATTGGATTTCTCTGTATTGATTTAGCTGGAGTTGTTGAAGTTGTTTATGTAATTCGGTGTAGCCTATTTGGTTTTGTTATCTGAATATGAAGTACGGTAGGATTCACTCTTCAACCACTCCAGTTAATACTACAGATTTTTAAAGTAGTATTTGTTCAAACTATGCGTAGGGAAAGAAGTAACCAATTCATTGTCCAAGCTTAAATGAAAGTTCATGTACACTTCGGCTCAGTATTGAGCGAGCTCTGAGTCACTACGGAGAGTCAAAGAAGTATCAACGTTGATAACCGCAACAATTGTTTGCTCTTTATGATATTAATGGTTCTTTGTTTTCTCAGTGATCGAGGAAGCTGTATTTTTCTATGAGACCATCGCCTATATGTACATACACATATGGTGAAGAACAAAGGGTTTAAGCTTGGATTCGTGTGGTTGTAAGTCATTATTTATTCAAAGCACAAACACAATTCAGGTGTTTAAGCCTAATACTATTTTGCTGCCGTCTCTACTTCTCTCTCAGGTTCATTGGTTAAAGAAGTTATAGGGAATATTTTTGGTAGTAGTTTTGCTGTCTTAGATTTGAGATGGTGCTCCTTCTCAAAGGACTCCAGTAAGAAGAGCAATAAAACCAACTCAAAAGTTCCAAAAAATATAATGGACCATGGTTAGAGGGGGCTGTGGTGGTCGATGAAACCCCTTACCACCATTTTAGGAAGTTCTACATATATCTCATATATTTGTTAGAAATGTATACTTTCTTAATTGTAAAACTTATCCAGCAACTGTTAACTTTGGTTGCTTATACATTTAATATGATTCTTTATTTTGTTTTTTCATAATTCTTTGTGTTTATCGTATATAGTTGAGATTTCTTTCTTTTCATTTGACCACATAATCAATTAAAGCACCACAAATAATCAATTATATAATGCATTCATACATATATCATATGATATAAAAACTTTGTATACATGTAATTTTATATATTCCACTTACAATAACATATCACTAGGATAAGACCCGCGCCTTGCGCGAGATGAAATTATTATTTTTATTATGTTTTGGAAAATGAAACAATAGTTCGGTTTCATTTGGATTAGAGGTGTTCAATCCGGATATCGGGTTTCGGTTCGGTTCGATTTTTTGGTATTTCGGTTTTTAAAATATAACTACTATTCTAAATCCATATTTACTTCAGTTTGATTTGGTTTATATATTGATTTTCAGTTTATTCAATTTTATACCAAAAAAACATAATTATTTAGTTTGAGATCATATTATATATTATAAAAATAAATAATATGATCATATTTAGAGTCAAATTCTCAAAAACTCATTTACTAAAAAAATATTATATATTTAAATAAAAGAATAAAAAAAACAACAAAGATTTCTATCATCTAATAAAATGATCAAATTTAGAATTAATATCAAAGCTCTAAATTTTGAAAAAAAAAAAAAAAAACAAAACAAAAGCATGAAAGAAAATTTTTTATATTCTTTCATATTTGGTGTTCATCAATTTAATATGTCTTCGATTGAACACAACTCTGTTTGTTTAAAGATTAAAAAAAATTGTAAAGAATTTCAGCTAATTGTTGTCTATCAAATTTATAATCTTTACTTCAATTTAGTCACTGTTAAAAAAGCAAAAAAAAAATAATCAAAAAAAGCAAAAAAAGATCAAGAAAATAAGAACCCTCAGTTGCAGTAAATTGTTAGTTAATTATAGTTCAAGTGATTCAAGTGATTTACGAATTATAATTATAGTTCAACTCATGTAACAAATAGATATACATATTTACATGTTTCAGTTTAATCGGTTATAAATCAAACCATATCCAAATCCTACGGTTTTTATAAAATCACATTCATTCAGTTTGTATGGTATATGTTAACAATAACCATATTATCGATTGTCTAATATTTTTTAAAAATATAAAATCAAAAAAGAACTAAGATATTTAAGGGGGTTTTGCAAAAACAACCCAAAAATTCAAGTCAAACACAAAACCAACCTCTTTTTTTTGTCATTACTATTCACTCTTAAAAAACCTAAACTCTCCTCATGTTTCTACCTATTTACCAAATTGCCATTATTATTAAATCTGATATTATTTTCGAAAATTATTAAAAACCTATTACACCCTAAACATTTCTCTTTATTTACCACAATGCCATTGTCATCAATATTTGCAACCACCAAAAACCACCATTGATGAGCTCTTTAAGCTTGTGTTTATGAATTTTCAACCACTTATTTCACTTTCTAAACAAACAATACTTCATTTCATCTCATTTCATCTCTATTTTCATCTAAACAATCCTCATAACTCTCATTTTCATAAACACAAACTTCATAGTTTCGATTTTATCCACAAGTAGATCGTAAAGGTTGCTTCTTTTGCTCATATTTGGATTCTGGACGGTGTAAACCGGTGCCAAGGTAACTATTTACATGCTTTTTGTCATATCTCTGATCTGTATCGCGAAAGTAGACTGTATTGTATGTCTACACATACGTGTAGACTTACGATGCAGTCTACTTGTCAACGCACAGGTTACTTTTGCAATTGACCAAAATATTTTTTTTTGTAATGTAGACCTACAAGTACGTCAACGTCTTTACCTTTGAAACCAAAAACAAAAAAATTGGTAGACTTACTAAGAAATCTACATAAAACAGGTTAGATTTGCATTTGACCAAAATTTTGACTTACCATAGTAGACTTTCGTGGAGGTCTACACTTTGTAGACTTCTAGGTAAGTCTACGGAAGGTCAGTTTTGCATTTGACCAAAACTTTGACTTCGTTGAATAGGTTTCTTTTGTATTTGACTAAAATATTTAGAAGTTGACTAAAACTTACTTTACGTGTAGACTTCATATGCAGTCTACAAATCTTAGGAAAAAAAAAATAGACTGCATATGAAGTCTACTATTTTATGTTGGTCAATTGCAAAACTAACATGTCGGGTTATAATGTAGACTTTTACTGCAGTCTACAGTTACGTAGACATTTAGTTTTGTCTACTCGTAGAAAGTCAACTTTGGTCAATTGCAAAACTAACCTCTTTCAAACAAATTTAAAAATTTAGACTGCATAATAAGTCTACTTCTAAAAGTCAAACTCTGAACGAATTCTGGTCAATTGCAAAACTAACCTTTTTAAAAATGTAGACTAAAAAGTAAGTCTACTCGTATAAAATCACATCTTTTTTTCAAATACAGAAAGTAACCAGTGAATTTGGCAATTGCAAAAACCAACCTAAACGTAGACCTAATTTGCAGTCTACATACTGTAAACTGAATAAAACGTCTACACTTCTGTAGACTGGATATGTAGTCTACCTTGTAAAATCTATCAAAAGTGGATTTGTGTATTATTCATTAAGTTTTTTCAAA